ACAATAGAATCATACTTCTTGATGTCCACATGTCAGCTCCTTTTCAGGATCAGCTGTTAAAAAGACAGCATGCATTAAAAGGAGATAGCCATCACGAAAGCATTTTATCCTGTAAGTTGAAGCATCCATCTGTGCCACATAACTAACTGTTGTAAGACTGGCAGAGCGTAGTGAACTTTGTACAGACAAGCATGAATGGGAACCTTCGCAGATGTAAATGTTATGCAGTATAAACTATTTGCATAGACTGCAATTTAGCAAAATGTTTAAGCATCTAGGTAAAGCATAATTTAGTGATTTGGTGAACTGACCTCTTAATCATTCACTTCTGATTTGGATATCTGAAGAACAATGCTTGGGAAAAGCAAGAGAAATAACTCATTGAAGAGAGATCTTCTTATTCTGCTTTTTATTGTTTTGTATACATTGATGCATTCTGATTCATGTTTTTGCATTCCTAAATTGGGCCATATCTGGTCACTATGATTAGCTCACTCTTCCAGAAACAGTAATGAGAGACTATGGCTTTTAGAAAGCTACAACATTCACAACACATAAGTAATGCATATGCTTTACTTATTTTTTCTAACATGAAATTGTACTTCAACTACAAGTCTGCACTGGTACCGATGTATCTTAAGTCATGAACAACCTTCTAGAGTTTGGCTTCTAGGCTGCCTCAATCCATTTTTGAAAAAGAAATCCCAATAGAAGAGAAAGAGGAAGTGACTTCCTTTGGTCCAATAGCCTACTGATTAGAGTAGGGGTCAAACTCACTGGGGCACCTAGGCTGTATCTGAACTGTGAGGATCCCTGCAGGCCAGATCCAGCAGCAGCAGCAGCGAGGGGGTTAACAAAGCCTTCACTTGCCCACCTTGCCGCTGACATCCTCAATAGGGCTCCACAGCTAGAAATTTGGCAACAGGCCCACCTCACTTGCCACGCCTCCAGAGTCCCAGGCACTCTAGGAGCCCTGCAAGTTTAGGATGACCATAAGTCTCAGTTTGCCTTGGACAGTCCCAGATTTTGTAGGCTGTCCTGGGTAGCTGGCGAAAATTCAAACAGAAATCCTAGAATCTCAAGTGTGTGGAGCACAGTTTGGCAGGGAAGCAAAGTGGCATGGTGTGCTAGGTGGGTAGGCAGGCAAGCACCACTGCTGCCACCCACACATGCCTGACCCAGCTCTTCCTGAGAAGCAGCTGGAGATGAAGGGTGGGCTGGACTAGGCCCTACTCCTCCTGTCTAGGGTGGGGATCAGCCAGGGCAAGCGGGGGGGGAAAGAGCACTGCTGTGAGCACAGGCAGCTCACATGGGGGGGGAGGGCATGTGCATTTGTGGCACCCCCCCAACCATGGCACCCTGGGCAGTCACCCATGTTGCTCACCCTTAAGACTAGCACTGTGTGGCATACAAATTCACTCTGCCCAATTCTTCTCTCAGTGTTTTTCTAACAATGTTAGTATATTCTCTTGGCACTGAGAACAGAATTCAGCAGGGTGAACTTGTCTGCCATATTTTGCCAGCCTTAGTGGAGTGGGTGATATGTGACCACCCAGGGCACTGTGGTCAGGGGAGCACTACACACACACACACACGAGCTGTCAACTCAAAGCAGTGCTCTCCCTCCCACCTCAGGCAGAAGGAGTGGTGCCCAGCCCACCCCCTACCAGCCTCCAGCCACTGTTCAGGAGCACCTGAGCCAGGCAGGTGTGGGTGGGAGTACCTGCCCACCTGCCTGCCTGGCATACCATGCCGCTCTGCCTGCCCACTGGAGTGCACCCCGCTACCATGCCTCTGCTTCCAGTAGCATCACTGACTTGGAGGAGAGAGGGGCAGTGTCCCAAATTTCCTTAAAAATAATATGGTCACCCTACTTCAGATGGATGAAATGGTTCCATAGCCAAGATCCAGTCTGTGGGCTGCATCTCTAACCACCTTGTGTTAGAGTGCTCACCTGGTGGGAGCCCCAGGTCAAAATCCCACCCTGCCTGACAGGTCATAAAACCACATCTCCCACATCCCAAGACAACACCTTAACTACTAGGTATAGGAGATTCTGAAGTAGGGTGCAGTAAGGCTCTCCTGTTGAAGTTGCCCTGTTTTATGTAAAATACTTAAAGTATTCATCAGAGCAGGGACTGGCATCCAGGTCTCTTCTTTCTCAGGTAAATACTCAAACTACTAGTTACAGGGCACATCTACACACGTGCCCAACTGTGCAGGTGTTACTGCACAGTCATTTAATACTTGCTATTGCACAGTCCTGGTGGTGCATGGGTCATTTCCAACCCTACTGTGCTTTAGCGGCGGTGGCATGATTCATGCCCGCGGACGCTACATTGCCATAGCTCATTGCTACAGCAACAGTGTGCCTTGTGTAGATGTGCCCAGATTATTAGTTCACTTTCATTCCCATTCTTGCCCACTGACTATTTAATTAATACATACCTTGTAGAACAACGTCAGTAGAAGAGATGGAAGAAGCTTTTTCCACCCCCAGACTAGCCCATGCTCTCTGGTTAAGACGTTCTTCTGGGAGCCATGGGTTTAAGTCTCCAAAGGCAGAGGAGGGATTTGAATCCAGGTCTCCCAAATGCTAGTTTATATAAAATACTTGGGTATTCCACACTAACCACCAGGCTACTTGCATGGGGGTAACATATTATAAGACTACCTAGAGATTTGCACCCTGCAAGCAAAATGTGGAGAAAAGTCCAGTTTGTGAACCACTGTCAGGCATGCTGAACTATTAAATGCAGGCAAGACTTAGGGATTCTTGTGCATGGTGGTCAATTAGAAACTTAGACTTCCGGGGATTTTAGGCACCTCCAGGGTAAGGCAGGGTTTTTATGAATCCACATTTTGGACTCAGGCATCTATTGTGACAGTAAGATGCCTAGGGTCCTCTTGTGGCTCTAATCCAGGCTGATAAACCATAGTACAAATGAAGGCCCTTAAGCATAAATCAGATACATTAGCCTAGACAGCACAGCATCGCTTCCATAGGCTTGTTAAATATTCTGTCACCACAGAATTTGTCACCAAGCAAAACAGGTTTGAGTATCTCTCTGAATTGTAAAAGCTGTTTTCATTATATGCAATGAAAAGGAAACCAGACTCAAGTATCATAGATTCTGATTGCTACATTTCTTGGCTTAAAATGTCATTTTAATTTGCCACCATGCCTAAGAAAACTAATCTCCAATAATTTATCACATGAAGATAATAAAGAATGCTTCATTGGAACCATCACCATCTTGTAAGACACCCTTGGCATGGTTTTATCACCATCTCTGCCACCAAAATAACTCATTCATTGGATTATACAGACAGGTAAAGGGTAATTTTTTGCTTTTGTTAGTTAAGTTCTTTCAAGTCCTGGATAAACCAAAATTGTCTCGTTCTGCAGTTATGCTTGCTGTTAAATGCCCTGCTATATCATTGTCCTTTTCACTATATTTAAATCATCTGCCAGTCTTCAGAAGAGAAGGACTAAAAAAAGTTTTCTTCCATGTGTCATGGCATATCCCATTAGTAGCACTTCTATGCTGGGATGCAGAATATAACTACTGAACCCCAGCAACACTAGTAGCATAGAGAAGGAATGGTGGGCACAGCTATTACTTTCTACAGTTCTGCTAATATAACAATTCTGCATGTGCACCTGGTTTCATCTTCCTCTAGATCAGGAGTGCTCAGTCCCTAGATGGTGGGCCAGATCTGACCTAGGGGGCAATGTCATCTGGCATGCCAGGCTCCCCATGGGTCTGAAAATTTGGCAGTAGTGGATTGGTGGCAGCATTAATAACCACTCCTGTTGTCAAATATCCTGACCCATAGGGAATCTGTCAGATAACATGGCCCTGCACACTAGATGGGGTGCACAGAGCTGGACCAGGGCCACACAGAGCCCAATCCAGGTGTATGGGGCTTGATCTGGGCACCAAAACTATCATGGACCAGACCCATACAACTCATCTAGCCTGTAGAGCTGAAAGATTGGGTACCACTGCTCTAGAAAGTGTACTGTGGATATAGCTGTGTGTCACCTGACTCTTATTTCATTAACATTCTTTTGCTAGTGCAAACTGTGATTATATATCATATCTCCATTATGTTCTCATGTTGATTGGCATGTCAGGATGTGGGACTGGAAGCACTGCAGAAGTGGTATGCTCAGAGCCTGAATTGAGCATCCCATAGTCAATATTTAAGTAACTCACTAGTGGCCACTAGGAAGCATAATCTTTTTCTCTCTTGCTTCCTCTGTATTACACAAAGCTTACAAGGTTAGCTAGAGCTGTAAAAAGATCCTCAAGCCAAAACACAATTGTGCCCTTCATTTTTAATTCTTTACATTAGAAGATGTTTTTACGATTGCTCAATGGTTACATTATTTCAGCAGGATTCATTCTGCCAAAATAAGTGTTAAATTTACTTTTAATTCCATCAATTACTCAAGATTTGGCTAATACACAATTTTGCACAATACATTCAACTACCTGCTTAGTCACTAAATACCTAAAGTAACAATAAATAATTAAAGTAACAAATTACTGCCTACTAAAATTAACACCCTTAACATCATTGATCTGTATGCATATGGCTACTTAAGTGAACAAAAATTTGCTGGACTGGGTCCCCAAGTGAAGACCAGTCTCAAAACGTGCCATCTGCAGCAAAGACTTTTAGAATATCGTAGCTGGGATAAATGAATACCAGCATGTTGGCTGGTACAGGACAAAGGACTGCTTGCAGAGTCTGCATCCTATTACAAAAATACCAGCTTCTGTATTTTGCATCTAAGACTCTGATATACATTACCCCAGATTATTTAGAATCTAATCCAAATAAGATAATTTGATCCTAGAATTCTGATTAGTTAAATGCAGCTTGAAGGTCTTTCCTAAATGAAACAGGCTTTTGGATTCACGCAGAACAACAACTTTTCCTTTAACTATCACAGCCGGGTAACATTTGTTTAACAATTCATACATTACCTCGTAAAACAGCTTATTTTTACTTTATTTCAAACTGGTACTTCAAGACCTTTCAGTTGCCTTCTTTTTAGGTTCAAAAGTTCCAAGTCATCAGGCATGCATATGTTTGTCCTTGATTTCCCTTGAAGAAAATGTAATTTAAAGAAGCCCCTACCCTATTTCTCTTTCCCTACTGAAGTTTCTCCTCTCATTTGCTTTCCAACATACAATCAGTGCCCCTTCCACACATGAGTGAGCTTAGAAAATCATTTAGAATACTAATAAGTTGAACCAGTTCAGCAAACATCAGGTAATTATGCCTTAGAGGTATGTTGGGAAGTCAGATATTTGTGAGTAACCCTTCCAGCTACTTTCTTACGCTTTATATCTGTTAAACTAAAACCCAATAAAATGAGCAAAGAGACAAAGAGGAAAGGATATGAGAAGAGCTCTACTCCATCTATGTAGTGCCCAGTATCCACCCCACATTCATGAGAGATTTCCTTATCCCCTTCCACATTCTCCCTTACCTTCCTGCATTGAGCTTCATGCTGATAAAAGCCAAATATGCATTGACTCCCTCCAGAGCCTCCTAATCCAAGGCAGCTGCAGGGTGTTTCTTGGAACCAATGCAAACACTCCTCCAGGGACCAATCCTTGCTGGACTTGCAAGGAAACAACTGAGCTCTAACACCTGTGTGGCAGCACAATGAACTGCCATTAGCTTGCCTGGTTAGACTGTTGAGTACTTAAATTTCCTCTTACCTCCTGTCATTGTCTTGTTGGTAACAGTTCCTTTGTAATACATACCCTTTTAAATGCACATGTCATGGTTCAGTATTCCTATATTGCAGAGTTAAATAAATTTGTCCCTGAACAGGTGGACAAGTGCACCTCGAGTAGACACAGGCATTGTAGGCATAGATAGGACTGTCATCACACTCCTCACAACCACAGTCACCTGTTCATGTGAAGAACATCTGTGACTTCTTGGCAGGGCATTGGCTTAGTGTTGAAGACTCACATGGTGAAAAGTCACCTTGTACAAGAGATTTTTACTAATGTTTCTCTGTGGCTTCTGGTTAGCCTGATAACAACAGGAGGGGGTTAACATCTTTCAACAAGACTTCTGCTTGCAAGTCTCTTATACGCTCTTGAAAATTCCTATTCTACATCTGTTCCAATTTGGAAATAAAACAACAACCCTTCTCCCTTTTATAAGAATTAATAGATACTAGACATTTTTTAACAGAAAGAAGCACAGGAGATCTTGCTGGGAAAAATCCATCAACTATCTTACAAGGAAACTAAATCTAAATTGCTGCATGCTTTTTTCCAAAGAACAATTATCAGTTGAAAGGAGAACAGTGCTGCTTAGGTGCTGAGCTCTTGGGGCAGGGACCTTTTAAAAAAAATCTGTATTTGTACAGTGCCTAGCACACTGGAGTCCTGGTCCATAACTGGGAACCCTAGGCACTTCCACAATACCAATAACCAAAAAATACAAAGCCCTAGGGAATTATCCTAAAATGCCCAGTCTTGAATTCTTTACTGTTGAACCTGAGTCTGCAAACAAGCATTTGCATGCACTACATAGGACTATTCATAGGCATAAAATTACTCACTTAGAGATTTGCATGAACTGGATCTTAGCCATTATTCTGGCCAGATTGCCATTGAAGTTATGGATTTATGCAGTTATGGCTTATATTTTAATTAAAAAGAAAAATCTGGATAAGAAACCAGGTACAAAAATGCTACATACAATTATCCTAGTTGGTCATCTGGTAAGGGAGCACCACAGCTGGTTTAAATCAGCCAAGCTCCACTGAAGTTAGCAGGACTATGTCATTTTATACCAGCTGAGGATCTAGTTTACAGTATTGAGGCATTCTGCTCTCTTCCAACTGTTAATAGTGTCTCCTACAGTCAGTTGCATTCAAGAATTTGTAATCATTGTGTTAAAATAGATCAACTTAGTTCCAAGATGTATATGAAGTCTAAGTAATTTATGGAGATATTAGCTTTGACAAAGGATTATTTTATTTGGATGTTTGTTTTCTCAGATTTCAACTTGGATTTTTTCTCAAAATATTTACTCCTCAAAGGCATTAGATGGAAGAAGAGTGTCAAAACTCAGCTCAGGCTTGTATGTATCAGAGTAACTGGGCTTGTCCTTTCCACATGCCCAAGTCCTTTTTTTATAGTTCCATAGGCACAGACGCAAATGAAACCTTATCTCTGGCTCCTCCTCCCACCAATCCCAGTATATCTCCGGCTGCTTCTCCCATCAATCACAAATCCTAGTGGGCTTTCTTCCCTCTGGGAATCCTAGATGTATCTACATGTGCATTAACACACTTCAGTTAATGCACATGAAATCCTCCAGGCACCTATACATTAATTATTGCACTCTAGCAGACTCCAACATCTTGTGTATCAGTGTCTCCAAGCTGAAAAACGGCAGTGAAGATGTTTTAAATACAGCTTGTGCAACAAGATTTATTTAAAGCATCCCTGCTGCCATTTTTCAGCACAGGGATGCTGATACACAAGATGCTCCAGGCACATTAATTAAAGCAGCTCTTGGGGCTACTCTAATTAAAGTGCCTCCCTCCCACTCCCAGAGCACATATTTAAATGCCCCCTGTTACCACAGCAGACCCTGAGCTTTCCTGGAGAGCCCCCCACTCCTTCAATTTAGTTAGGTGCAGCTATCAGTTAACATGTTAGGCTTGTTTGTCCTAAACCTGGAAGCTATTTCCTGCAAGATAATACCAGCAACATATTTAAAATACACAGCACCTAAAAGCTCCTTAGTCTGCTCTTACACCTAACTAAAGGCACAATAACAACTGCTCTAAAGTCACACAAATTCACTATGCAAAATTTGGAACCAAATCAGAGACTTTTGCAAGCATAATTGTGAATTAAACATTTAAACAACTCACAGAGGTTTGAAAAAAGACAAAGGAAAAAAGGGGGAGTCGTCATTGTTTCAACAGTTTGCTTGGATTAAACTGAATAATATTGGGCTTCTACCCCCAGGTTCTGTTTACTTCTACTGATAATTTGCAAAAGACCTTAAAACTTTGTGCTGAAAGAATGCAGAATACCATTAGAAGACTGATGATGAAATGATTAAGAAGGTGTATGCCTAGTGAATACCGTATTTGGGAGAATTCTGTAGGTAAATATGGCAATTCCAAAAAAGAAAAAAAAAGTGGAGAATATCTCTATAGAGTGGGAAAGAAAAGCTGAAGTGTAGGCCTAGATAGCAAAAGCCCATTTTTTGATGGTGTCGTAGCACCTCCTGATAATGAAGCTACTGATTGGCTATTTATCATGAAATGTTATGGAGTCTTCAGTGGACTTTGGACAACAAGATATATTGGTAGCACTCCCATGAAACTTCGGTGTTTTGTGTGTGCACAAGATAACTAACATTTACTATATACCCATGTGGCTAGGTGTTGAGCAAAGGTTGTCCATTGTCACTTTGAATCCGTTGTCAATACATTGCTTCTTTCATTGGGTTCACAGAGTTGTTAGGCAACTTACCAAATGCATCTGGCAAAATCATGTGTTTTACATAACCACATATCCAGAGTAACCCACTGACTCTGCTGAGTTGTTTCAGGTTTACACTGAATTAAGAGAAATAAAATGGCTCACTGTATTCATCTTGTTATCATATCATTAATAAGTAGCTCTAGGAAGTATGGTAGACAGACATGCTTTTTGAATCCATGTCAGTGATGTCATAGCTATATCAGTTATGCTTAGGAAATGCTCTAGCTATGACTGTTCAGGGAGCAAAGGTAAAATGACAGCAAATCAAGACAGTGCAGTATTCAGGCCTAATTCATTCTTCCACATGTGCTGTTTTATCTCATCAGGCATTTCCTGAAAACTAGACTATGCTCTGTTCCTGGGCATTATCCTGTACAGAGTTATTCTGTAATGCCTCCTATTGGAAGCTGCCTAGGTAACCGTCATGGTGTTTATGTTTATAAATTCCACATTGTAAAAGCAGTAATCCCAATGAGATGGCACATTTCAGAATGAGTGATCAGAACAGCAGTAGTTTAGTGCACCGCCATGTATGAGCTAAGAAGCTAATGATTAATTATATTTAGAAATAATTTGTATAACACCATGAACTTCAGCTTATGGTGAATGCATCCTGCTGGCAAGATTTGGCTTTGAGAAAACTTAGCAACAATGAAGCTGAGAAGGCAGGAGCAGATTGAAGCATGCTGAGGAGCACTGGGATACAGGGGGATACAGGGGGCTTGAAGGTTGTCTGGGACTAGTAGGTTTGGTAGTTGGGTTATCTGAGCTGGTGGGTGCTAGCATTTGGATGGCAGGGCTGACTGCTGTGAGGGATGGCTATTTTATGAGGGTGGGTGATAGCGGGAGGTGCTAGGGTAGAGTGCTGTGAGTGGGTGTGGTCCAGGATGAGCTATGGGACTACTTGAGTACTGGCTGGAGTAGCCTGAATCTAGTATTGTGAGACCCCTTATTTTCAGATCCTTCCATCCAATTTGCCACCTTGTAGGAAGCACAGTCAAAACACAGATGACCATACTGCACAGTGGCATCTAGCAAAAGGAACTGTAGATCCACTGGTAGCTCAGTAGTAAGGGTTCAAATGTAGCTGAGTTGGACAGTATAACAGGGCTTCCACCTCTGGGACCACCCCACAAAATGATCATCTTGGTGAATACTGCTCTTTTGTGGATGGATAAAATCACTCTACCTTGCTTTCCATAGAGTTATACAAAGCATGCTATAATGACCCAGAACATATATAGCTTCTTTCATATTTTATTTGGCATTAGCATGATTTCTTTATTACATTTTAATATGATCATCATCAGCTATCTTGATCTTAAGATGATGCAATTTCTTAATCACAATGCAAATGTATTTTAGAAGTATTTTTCTCATATAATTTGTAAAAGACATTGTTGTACTCTGCTTGCTTTGGGCTTGCTTTTATTTCTTGGTGTAACAGAGGTCCATTTCAGTTCAGTTTATGTTGTATTTGTGTTCAGAATGTAATGCTTGAAGCTTGTACATGGGAATCTACTTGAAAATGATTCAGGTCTAGAGCTACAAAAAAGTTGTAAAGTGCCCAAAAGTTTCCGTGTTCTTGGATTATAAGAACCTATTTTCTAAATCTATAATCCTATGGAGATTGTCTTTAAAAATAACTGCTCCAACTGTTAATAGTGTCTCCTACAGCGAGTTGCACTCAAGAATTTGTAATCATTGTGTCAAAATAGATCAACTTAGTTCCAAGATATATATGAAGTCTAAGTAATTTATGGAAAAAACTAGCTTTGACAAAGGATTGTTTTATTTGGATGTGAGATTTCTCAGACTTCAACTTGGATTTTTTCTCAAAATATTTACTCCTTAAGGACATTAGATGGAAGAGTGTCAAAACTCAACTCAGGCTTGTAGAGAATGATCCTAACTTGTGTTGTTTGGAAGAATAAGCTCAGTTCCCCATAGGCAAAGGTCCACATTGTCAGCAGAAAACTCAACATTTCATGGGTACGTGCAGTTGCCTTTCACTCACAGTAATAGTTTCTAGAGGTACACTGGCATGGTAACATTGGCAAAATTGTATTACCACTGCCTAGACTGCACATGTTCTGTACGTAAGTATTGAGCGGCAGTCTCCCAGGATCTTTAATGAACACTAAATTGATTTCTTCTGTTGGGGTTGGTGCCAGAAGTTCTCTTCAATCTCTTATGTTTCATTCATGAAATCATCTGCTGTTTCATGGGATGAGCCCAAAATTATCAGCTGCCTGAGATAGCTCCTATCAGCAGAGAAGAGCCAGACCCTCTGTAAAGATTGCTGACCAGAGAACCGGGTGGAAAATACTGCTGCTACACATTCCTAATACCAAATGGAAGTGGAGAATACAAGTATTAATTGGGATTAAAGGGAAGTAACTGGCTTAGTATAATATGACAACTGTGACAAATAGAAAGGTTCATTTTCTAGGTATAGTAATCCAAGTGTCACATCTCCCATGTAACATGTCTTGGATATTGGCCAAATAACTTTGGAAGAGAGATATTCCTCATTATTTTTGGGTCACTGCAGAGAGCTGATACCTTTATTTTTAGATCCGTGGACAGGGGTGGGATCAACTATTTTTAGGTCATCAAGTTTCCCTTACTAGTCCTTTCTCCATCTTTGCTCTAGTCCTGTGCTAGCCATTCTGTAGCAATTTCCAATTCCTGAATGATGGAAACCATCCATGGTCCAAGAAGAGATGTAATGGACAAACTTGGATTTTCTTTTGTTTGCCAGTTGTTTCCTTTCTTTCTAAATGCTTCCTTAAATGCAGACTATAACAATACACCAAACCAAAAGAGCAGAAGCAGAAACCTAATGTAAAGGATAAATTAAAGTCTAGCAAAAGGCAGCAAAAAGAAACAGCTTCTAGTACAATTTTGCCGTGAATTTCATTAGCAGATGTGTTTATTTAAAATTATGAAAGCAAATTTGAAAAACAAAGCAAAGGATTTACAAATAATAGATGCAAATCACAGCACCACAACTGTCAGACTGTGAGACACAAAAATACCTGGTATATATTTCCATTCTGCTGCCCTTTCTCGTGTTTAGTACTTTATTCCTAGATCAGTGTAACTACTAATGGTGTAAATTACAACTCACAGGGCACGTCTACACATGCACTTCAATAAGCAGTAGCTTATTTTACCGTGCATTAAAGCATTGCATTAAAAAAGTGCTATTACGCTAATGCACAATAAAATAGGCTACTGCGCATTAAGCATCACTTAAAAAGTGTGTGTTTGTGCTGCTGTGCATTAGGGCAGTCTAACATTCATTAATTTAGTGCCTCATGCTGGAGATACTAAATTTAATGTACATTTGGAAAAGCATGTTAATGCATGTGTAGATGCAACCACAATGAGTGAAGGGAGCAGAATTTGGCACCAAATACATAAGCAGTAATATGTTTCTTGTTTGTCACACAGCACTATTTCTAAATGTCTTCTCACTTACGCATTTTTCCACTTTTGAAAACAGGACACTTAACTGGGGATGCATTTGTCTCTCATGCCACTCCAGTTCACTGAAGCTAAACAAAAATGCTGGGAGTGTATTGGCTTGACACTGAAAGCTGTTGAGCAACCTCCACCATGGTGCTTAGCACCTTGTAGGACTGAACTCAACTAATTTCCTCCCACAAGCTGTAATAGAAGAGCTACATGTACCTCAAGAAAAGGAAGACAACTGAACAAACACAGTGTGAGATGTCACAAAGCTAAACACCTTACTTTTATAACAGAGCAGTGATTTGGTTTAGACCAGTGCACCTCACCTGTTTCTTCTTTCCTCAGACAGAGAGGGGAAGTTTGCCATGTTAGAAAGAAGGCACAGCAGGGGGCACCTTAGAGCATAACTCATTCATAAGCTTTCATAGACAACAGCCTGCTGCTTTGTTGAATGCTGTGAAACATCAGATGATAGCATCTGGTGAAGTAGGCTGGTGCCTATGAAAACTTACGCATTCTGAATGAGTTAGTTTCAAATGTGGCAGACTTCCCTGCCTTCTGCCAGCAGTCTATGGATGCAACTGGGCTCCGGGGACTCAGGGGCAACAACTTAATGTTTGCCATCGCAAATGCAGTTGCATTTGTGTGGCTGCCAGCAGCAGCTGCTTTTTTTGCACCCCCTCTCAAATTGGCACCTGGGGTGGTTACCCCATTTGCCCTGCCCTAGTTATGCATCTGCCTTCTGTCATTCTTCAAATAGTTCTGTCTGCTCTGAAGCTACAGGAATTTTTTTGCCATGTTTTGTCTCTTGTAGTCTGTGAACCATGGATGTTTAAAAGTGAAAAACTCAAGGATTTTCTTGCCTTACTCCTGTTGTGTGGGAAGGGATTCCTGGGAATGCCAAACTAAAAGACCCCTCTTTATCCCAGATCTTCTTCTGCTTTTCACTGGGGTGGAGGGAGGGAGTTAAATTAAAAAAGAAAGAGGTGTCTATCTGCACGAACACGCAGTTGGCAGGGAGAGACACCCCTCCCAGCACAGAAGCAGGGGAATGGCACTTCTACAGCATTATCCCTCCATCCCCTTGAACACCTCAGCTGAACCTCCATCAGGACTATGTGTAAACAGGTCCAACTAGGGAGGGCACTGCAGCCTCCTATGACACTGTTCATTGCTGGCTCTGCAGAGATCTGCAAGGTGGACAGAAGGGGAGTAATGCTTCATAAAATGTCCAGAGTACTGGCACTTGGAAGAGCTTGCCTTGCAACTTGGTTTGTTGCATAAGCAAATATATATATATATATTCACATGTCTCAGAGCCACAGACCTGCCATTCCAACAGACAGTTCCCAAAAAAGGTAGAGATCTAAGTCAACCAGAGGCAAAAAGATTCTTCCTGCTTGCACCCCCCCCCACCCCCCCGCCATCATTTCAACAAGATATAGGAAAATAAGAAAGGGATAAGATAGTATTGAGATGCTTAGGAAATTTGCCTTACAGAGGAGTGAACAAGGATATGGAGCTGGGTAATACAACGAAATGAGATGGAACTGAATCAATGTCAGACACTAAGCATGAGAGAAATTCAGGAGAT